TAAACCTTAAAGAAACATACACGTGATAATACCTAGTTGTTTACTCAGTCTGCCCGTCTTGAGCCTAGGTAGATAGGTTTCCACTCGGGGAGATAAGGTTTAAATGTACCGATCTCATTCAACAACTAATAGTCAATAGAGGCAAGGAGATTATTATTTCATTATTTAGAGTCGGAATGATTAATTCATAAATATAAAATGAATAAAAACAACAAATTAACTCTAATGCTATATTTAAATAAGTCTTAAAGATCATCTTTAGAATAATTCTAAAAGAAGTATCTTAAGTCTCTCTTCGTTCTCTTCTTATTTATATAGTCTTAATATATAAGATATATATATATATATACGATGCTTAGAGAGATAAGTAATATAAAACGCATCTAAATGTATTCTTACTTTAAGTCTTTAAACGAATTAAATCATATTACTAGTTGAAAATTTATATAATAAACTTTAAATAATAAAAATATTATAAAAATTATATTTAATTTACATTTCATTCGAAATCCCTAATTTTTAATTATATTCTAGTTGGAAATCCTATTTAGAGTCTATTTAGAATCTATAAAAAGCTTCGAATACTTTAAACATGTTATAATTACATACTAGAGGATATCAGTAAAGATTAAATAATTAGAATAAGAAAGCTAAAGAAAGAAGAGATCTCTAAGAAATCTCTATATCTCTTATATAGTAATAATCGCGTAGTTCAAGCTAGCCTTAAATTAAGAGATACGTATTGAGTATTTACAATGTCATATATTATTTGTTATAAAATACTATAAAATTATTAAAGTTAGTAAATAGTAAATAAAAGCTTTAAATATCGAATCTTGAGGAGAATAGTTTATGATTTCTTTAATTCGCTTAAAACAGTTATAAATTATAAAAAAAACAGTAAGACTTTAATAAAAGTAGGGTTTATATTACTCACTCATATAATCTTTATGATTATTTCTTATTCATTCGAGTCGTTCTATTTTAGATGAGAAAAACCTCCGACATTCCGCTCCCTCCCTCTCCACTGAAAGAGGGAGGAGCACTGTTCAAGTTGAGATATAAGTATATATATGCATTACCATTCCTCTCCGACATAACATGATTAGATATTCGTCTATCTTAGGGGTTTCCAGGAAGTCTTGCATATTTATCTATTGAAATATTGTTGATAAGATATATTCGGTACATGTTTGGGTGAGATGTATTGATCTCCCCTAACTTGCCATGAGTTGGATGGACTATTAAAGAACAATACAAAGTACAGGATAGGTATTGAAATTCCCATCGATTCATCACTCATAAATTTGAGTCAATCTCAGTAATCATCCCAGTCTAAATGTACTATGTCATATCTATGTTCTCAAATTTGCAATCATGCCCAGGTAGGTAGGTACAAATTGAAACTACAATCTTTCTATGATGAATAACCTTCGACGAGGCTGATGCTTCTTCAAGCCCCGCCATTGGGAACTACGATCAATATTTACATACATTACCCTTCAGCTGCATACAAAACAGCCAGAATACTTCTCTTCCAACCAATTTCCCACACTCGTTTTTACCATCGTTCCAGTAATTTACATACCGTGAGCTTCCTCAAATAGAAAAACAATTTTTTCTTTTCCGCACTGCACTGCCACTCACTAACAATTACGAGGTAGGTAGTCTTGCAGATCTCATTCATTGGTATAAAAGGGGCAGCCGCGCGCTTTATTCTTCTTCTCGATAATACACTTCAGACCCTTGATCGACTTCACATAACTACCTGAACTATTCCAAATTCCGTTCGCACACTCTCCCTCAGAACTATACTCAAATACACAATGGTTTCAACCAACGGAGTTACAGACACCAATGGAGTCACTACAGGACTTTTCGGGCCTGAGCTCGTCTCCCCCGAAGTTGCCAAATCCCTCCCTGAATCATATACTCTCCGCGCCCTTCAAAAGTCAGATTATGCGCGCGGATTTCTAGATGTATTACGGGTTCTGACCGTTGTTGGGGATATCACCGAAGAGCAATGGAATGAGAGGTATGATTGGTACAACATTCAAGGAAAAGGTGGCTATTACCTCCTAGTCATTGAGGATCAGGGAAAGGTTGTTGCTACTGGCGCTTTAATTGTGGAAAGAAAATTGTGAGTGAATTTAGTTTATAGAGGCCAGTTTCGAGAAGTAATGAATACTGACTCAATGAAAAGCATCCACAATCTTGGTCTCGTAGGTCACATCGAAGACATTGCCGTAGCGAAAGACCAACAAGGAAAGAAACTCGGATTGAAGATGATTCAAGCATTGGATTTCATCGCGGAAAAAATTGGTTGTTATAAGAGCATATTAGACTGCAGTGAGGCTAATGAGGGATTTTATGTAAAGTGTGGGTTCAAGAGGGCGGGTTTGGAAATGGCTCATTATTATGATCATTGAAACAAGCGTCAGGATAACAAGTTTGGATCTCCAGACATAGCGAATTGGTTGGATTTTGATTTGAAATTAAGCATAGAGCGAGCGTCATAGATGGAAGACAAAAAGGATACCATGTACAAATTTGTTTTGATTGGGAATGGATTAATTACTGCCGGAAACTTTGGAGCAATGCATATTAGATTTTTTGTGGTTTTGTTTCCTCGTTCTTTTTGATACACTCGCGACCTTCTGATGCTTCACACCCATTGAGGTTTTTTGACTGTTTTTTTCCTTCTGGTATATCCAAGACCAGTCCTCAATCCAATAGGACTAGATTTCACAACGATTCGAGGTTCCTTCTTGATTGGCTTCCTTGTAACGCCAGCAGGACTCATAAGACCCAACGCCGAGTCTCTAAATTTCGTCTCTGAATCAATCTTCCTCGAAGGAAGTGAGATGACGGTCGGTTTGATCACGTCTTTCCTGTAGATCTTGATGGGCATAGAAACTCCGGATCCAAGAACCACCCCTGAAAGTTCATCGGACCCATAGCTGTCAGAATTTACGGACATTCCCCTCACTCTCCATCCTAAAACATCCTCCTCAACTTCGTCCAATAACCCACCCAAGCTCATACGTCCCTTGAAAGCATCATCCAGTCCTATCCTAATGCTCTCATTCCCATCCCCCAAGGATAAACTACCATGGTTCCCTCCCCATACATTTACTGCGTTATTCTCAGATTCCCAGCATTCCTTTCTTACTTTGTTCCCGCCATTAATTTTCAAAGGCGGTAGATCAGCAACCCACCCATCTAGCTCTGCCATCTCTAATTCTTCCACATATTCTTCCACAATATCAGCCAACTCAATCATTCCCTCGACTTCCTCTTCCATGATCAATACCATTTCTGTCAAACCGCCAAGTACATCCCCTTCCAAACCATCCAATTCCTCACCACACATCATTTTCTCCCCAGTAATTGTGTCCATTACAGAAGCGACTTCTTGAAGTAAAGATGCGAGTTTATGAGCGGTATTTTGATGACTGGGTGTAGGAGTCGTCGGCATTCGCGGGTATAGCTGTGGTAGTGGAAAAATTTCGGATTGGTATGTAGACTCTATCGGAGCTTGCGTTATGACATTTGGATGTCCCTTCGTTACCACCCCTTCATTACGCTGAACTGTATACTTTGGCATCGATGTTGGCGCTATTTCACCGGCTGAAAGGTGATGAGGATTGGAGACTTCTAATTGCTGTTGCGAAACGACTTGAGATCTCTTTAAAGTAAAGATATATCGATGAACAAAACAGGACTTAAATTTCCAAGAAGAGTTTTATTGCTTTGATCCTGGATTGTTCGGCAGGCCGTCATAAGTATTTGAATGCTGCGTTAAATATTTACCACATTCCAATACGGGGCAAAGTAAATCATAAAAATGCTGTTGGCTTGGAAATCTTAAAGCCATCCGAAATGTTTTACTGCATCCCACATCATCGGCCATGAATTGCATGAAGATGTTGAAATATTTAAAATATGCCACTTATGCTGGGAATCATTTTCATCTAATTGTGGATAATTATCATGGGAATTAACAGATGTTGATCAGGGATCGTAGGAAAAAAGGGGAACAAGTATAGCGAATCATAACCGATTCTCGTACCAGTGATTTATGCGAGATGTAAACGCATTGATGAACCCTCAAGTTGAAAGAGAACTGAGGAATGTTTACCTAGATATTATTTCGAATACCGAAATATTAGGTAACTCCATAACTCATTGCAAGTAAGGGATGAATTGAAATCCATGAGGGAAATTAGGATATCACTATGGGCCAGGCAAAGTAGATAACAGATCTTTATGGTAAATTACTGTGTTGAAGACAATGAAAAAAATTACACGAAGTAATACTTAAAAAGCTCTAAGACACAGCTTCAGAACCGCATTCGTGTAGTCGAAACCCCCCAATTGCCGGTTTGGCTGATTTATGACGTGATATTTAACGCCCTGGCATGGACTGGAATTTGCAGTGGCCAAAATTTGTTCCAACCGAATGAAATATTTAAATCTAGCAAGACATTGGAGTTTGATGATATGCTTAAGCTCAACGAAATCTTTGGCAAACATTCAAGCGATGATGAATGTCCAACGCAGAGCGCACTTGACATCACTTCAAATATCTTTGAGATAACATATGACAAGAGCATGATCATCGGAGCAGCCGCTAGGCCCCACTGCACTTGCATTGGGTACCTAAGACGACCAGAGGATCGTTGGTTGCTTGAAAGCCTACCGCGAGATCTTTTGACTCACTGCCACCCAGCCTACTTGGTAGCATCATATCACATCGTCTGATTCATAAAAGCCCAGGTGTTTAACGTCATGTTTCATTCGTTATAGTCGTATTATTCCCAAGATATCTTTCCCCTCAACGACCTTTGGATGTCATATCTGCATCCATTTAGGTGGCGCTTGTAAACAATCGGGTCTGATGTGGGTGTATCTGGTTTTCCCTTTAAGCGCATGGAGATGTTCTTGTGGATTCCATTCCCTTTCACCAGAAATTTTCTTCTACCCTCATATTTTTTCTCTCATTCTTCCGGTTGTATGAAAGGATTCGCGATTTCTTCGCTGCCATCAACTGGACTTATTCCTATGAGCAGGGTTCCTCTTGCAACCACTAAACCTAATGATCTCCAAGCTTCGGTTCCTTCATCATCTGCGAAAGGACCAAGTCAGTAAAGGAGTTTGGCAGAGTATGAATGTACTTTACCAGTCAGTTTCTCCTCCACATCATCCAATACCAAATTCATCAAAGCATCATAACCCTTCAATGTGCCTTTCACTGAGGAGGATTTATGTCAGAAACTTTCGAGTTTACCGATGCAACCGATAACGTACCATGTCTGCCACCATTGAACTTGACTGTGACCTGCTTATCCATGTACTTTCCCAAGTCCAAGATATTCTCCTTCTTTGGTTTCTCGAAATTTCCCCCGCCATGTCCACCCCTCTCCCCACCATGACCTCCTCTACCACCGCCCCTACCGCCTCTGTGTTCACCTTGTCCTCTACCACCTCCACGTCCGCCACCTCTGTGCTGACCTTGACCCCTTTCAGACATCCTGTCGCATGTAGGAGAAAATGCGGTCTGTTATCTGTTGGGTAAATTAAGTGAGGGATATTGACGTTATCAAGAAATTCTAGAACTTTTGTGATGGAAAGCTACAGCAATTGAGGCAAGTAGCCGCTAGGATAGAGCGACATAAGTGGCTTACTTGGAAGGCTGTGAAGACGAGGCTGAGATCAGAAACTGTGGCTGGGCATAAATGCCGAAGGACGGTCTCAATCCAACGGAATCAATTACCATTCCAATTTTACATGAAGGCTCACTTCGAGTGTCGGGAATACTTTTACTTCACTAATACAATTCTCACATAGTATCTTCGAAAGCACGGCAATTTTGTCCTTCTCAAAATTGACAGGAAATTGAAAGTCCTGCGCCCGGTCATCCCTAGGAATCATGTGGCAGTCGAGTGTCTAGTTCTAGGGAGGTTTCTTGAAAGTAACTTTTCAATCAAACCAGTAACTTACTGACAACTGTCTCTATTCTACGAGGCTTTGAGTGCATATCCTTAGGTAGGTACGATTTCTTAATGTCTTTGCATTCTTCAATATCATGTATGGTTGCTATCACCAACCTCATTCCCAAGCTCATTACGCATTATCACATGTCAAATGATCTTGAAGTTCCACTGTCAACACCCCGCCACGATTCAATGATCTTCATCCTACATCATGGGAAATAATATGTACCGCAAATATTCAGTCCTGTCAGGTACGACGACCTCAATTTCATTCACTTCGATCATGCATTTCTAGGACCGATGCCGAGGAAGTCTTAATTCCCGGGACTTAATTGCAACCCCCAATTTGCCACGCACAGCATAATCGATGAGTTTGAAAGAATTAGAGCCTCAAGCTCTAGGGGCTCTGGATGAAGAATTACAATATGAGGTAGAGGAGATAGGGAGCACAGAGGATAATGCAGTGATGAACCATGATCGTCTGCCGCAGGTAACTCGAGAGTCGACGCTTCTTCCATCGCCTATTGCCACTGCTGTTAGCCTGGTAACGAGATCATCCTCTCTTTATATTCGACTTGGCACATTCATAGGGGGCCTTGCTATAGATGGTGCACGAGTAACAACACTCACCGGGTTAGAAGTCAGTAGAGCTATTATCGAGGGAATACTACATCGTGCTGGAAAAGACGTTGCAAATCGAAGTACTGGAGAATTAGGAAAGTTGGAAGCAGAAGGGTTACTGGAACGAAGTATTGCGAATTTACACGCCACTATTACAGGAATATCATTTGCTGCTTCTACTACTTTTCATTTCTCTTCTGTAGCTTTGTCTTCAGCTACAGACATTTCACAACAGCTACTGGGTACACTGGATTCGATTCTTGGTTCGACAGATTCTTCGAGAGCAATAGCCAGCATCATTACATTAATTCGCCGAGAGTTTCAAAACCCCGCCACAGGAGCTGAAGGAGAAAAGGTTGGTGTCGGCGATCTCTTGTTGGGTATTTGTGGGTTGGCATTATTACAAAAATGGTGTCGCAAATTGACCGATCTAGAATGTCGAGAAAAAGAACACGAGGAGGTTCTTTGGGATGTGGTTGTGCTTGATGATGGCCGGCGAGCGGATGTCGTTGGTATGATATCAGGAGATTCCCCCAGTATTCAAGGAGATCCCACCAAATTGTCTTTCATGAATACAAGAGGTGGTGAAATGCTAGAGACGATTAAAAGAGAGGAGCCAAGTCAAGCTGACGATGGGGAGGACAAGGTGGAGAGTGTATTGAGACAGAGGCTAATCAAGTCTCTACCTTCCGATGCATCTGTTTCCATCACGACATCTACCATCACAACAACCATAAAAAAAATCACCGTGGAAGTTTCAGGATTCGAGCCTCCTGTTTTTTTGCCACCTCCCGGTGTGGAGATACTGGAAGAACATGCTATTCGTCTTGGAAATGAGGATCTAATTGAAGGGGGAAAACAACCAGAAATTACACCAGTACCGAGATACAGAGTGGTGTATGGAATAGTAGGGAACAGATTACGAAATATGAGTGTCGCAGAAAAAGAATTGCTTCAAGCTATTGAGAAAAACGTGGAAAGTGATAATACTTCGGGCGATGACCAGGACCGCGACGCTTCCAGCAGTGTCGCCTATTCAGATATACCCAAAGCGACTTATATCGACGATGGTTGGCCTATTAAAGACGAATACTCGCCCGTCAATCCTCGCCGAAGAGCTACTGGTAGCAAATCAAAAATACCCAGGCTTTCACTTCCTGGAGTTTTGGACGAGAAATGTATTGTAAGTGCGGAAATTTCTTCTTTGGTTCCAGACAACTTGGCAAATCAAAAGAGATCAAGAAAGCCTATCAGCCCAGCATCATTAGATAGTAGTTCTAAACTCAAGCCGATTTCGAACAATCAAGTATCTAAAAAATCGAAGACCGATGAAACAACGGTGGAAGGACAAGATAGGAAGACTTCTTTTCGCCAGGCCTTTAAGGGAAGATCTAGTACCAAGTTATCCAATCTTTTCAACAAAGATGGAAGTAAAGAAGACAGCAAACCCAAACTTCCACCTCGGCCTCGTCCAACATGGGGAGACCCCACTCATGCATCAACAGTTAGATCTACCTCAGCCCATCTATCAATTCTACAGAAGCGGCCAAGAAATACTGCAGGCTCCTCAACACCGTTACGTGAAAATCAGACCCCATTGACATCGGAAAATCTTGACAAAATTCAGCCTGATCTGCCACGCACTCCTTCCAGAACCGGTTATTACACGGTTCACGAACAACGAAAAGATTCAATGGTTTCTCAAACTGACACTTATTCAATCCACTCTTTTGACCAAGGCCGTCCTCATTCCCCAGTAACACCGAGGAATCGTTACGTGGGCCAGAATAATGCTATGAGATTACGATCCGAGAGGGGTATGACCCTTGAAAATTCACTCTCGACACCCAAAAGCCATCGACGCACACATTCAAATGAAGAAAGTATATTTACGTTGAATACAAACAACTCGGAGATTTGTCTCATCCCAAATTTTGGAAGAGAGAAGGGTATATTTGAAAGTGGGGAAGCATTAGATTCCCTGATGCGGACTGGTAACATTGATGGCACTTTTCCAAAGCGCCATATCATACAGAACATTACCCGTTTCGTCAAATTCGCATCCGCTTCTTACGGCTCCAACTTCCTTCGAGTGATGGGGATCTCGGATCCTAGTACAAGACAAGAGCTTGATGCTATACATCATCTTGAACATCAATCATTTTCGTCTCATACACAACTGCCTGCCGACACTATTCTTCTTTCTTCGTTTGTTGATCCTCAAGGTGGGACTGATTCTAGTGGACTCACAAATACTGGTGTTCCAATGGTTCATTATGTATCACTAGATCATCAATCACAAGCTATAGTCCTCACATGTCGTGGTACTCTAGGATTTGAAGATGTTCTCGCCGATATGACTTGTGATTATGACGAACTGGTTTGGCGTGGTAAAGCTTACAAAGTCCATAAGGGGATTCATGCATCTGCCCGAAGACTTCTTCATGGTGGTGGAGGCCGTGTTATGGCCACAATAAAGGCAGCGCTTGAGGAATTTCCGGATTATGGTTTGGTTATGTGTGGGCATTCATTAGGTGGCGGTGTAAGTACTTTATTAGCTATAATGGTTTCCGAACCTGCTGGCTACGGCACTTCATTTGTTACTTGTCACCCAGGAAATTTACCCACATCCCTTGACGCTACTGAAAATTCTTCTCAAATACTACACCTCCCACCGGGTCGACCAATCCATGTTTATGCTTATGGTCCCCCTGCTACGGTTTCTCCATCTTTAAGATCTGCAACTAGAGGTCTCATTACAACAGTCGTCAATGGTAATGATCTCGTGCCTCATCTTTCTCTCGGTTTGCTTCACGACCTTCAAGCAGTAGCTCTTGCATTCAAGAACGACAACTCGGGTGCGAAGGGTGAGGTGAAGAGAAGAGTATGGACGGGAATGAGAAATTCATTTACTGAAAGATGGTATGGTCGATCTGGACATGGAACTGATGAAGAAGAGGAAGATAAGTGGGCATATGCTGCACTCAAAGCACTCCGAGCTTGTATGTTGAGCAATAAGCTGGTACCACCTGGAGAAGTTTTTGTGGTTGAGAGCATGGCTGTCTTAAAACGAAACGCTTTCATAAGGAAAGGAGATATGAGCGATGAACAAAATGATAGAGGGGAAGATGGGTTAGGTAAACCAGCAACTAGAAGTGTATTAAAGTACGTGAGGGATGTAGAAAAGAGGTTTGGTGAAGTCAGATTCGGGGGAAGTATGCTGCTGGACCATAGTCCAGGAAGATATGAAAGTAGTTTGAGGGCATTGGGAAAGGGCGTCTTGGGTGATTCATGACTCGTTTACCACAAGGTATCATTATGTTCTAATATACAAAGTTACGATTGACAATTGCAGCCTTACAGAGGCAGCACAAACATCATAGCAATTCATCAGGAACTTTTGACAGCGAGACAAGCTCTTCAGAGGATGCATAAGTACATCATGCATAGTCGCCATCGATGTTTGCATTCATCTCAATAATTTCATTCGTATCAATATGCTAAGAATTACGGGCGAAATTTATCCATAGGAATGCTATAAAGTTCCAGCCTTCCATGCCACATAGCATTCCCGATCTACGTTGTATTCAACCACATTGTATGCTTTCATTCCAACACGTTTCAACGTCACTGTTGTTCTAAGATTATTGCTTCCCTTCAATTCACTCTGTGCTTTTGACTGAGTCACTTCTACCAAATTCATAAAACCTTCTAGCTAAGATGGCTATGTTTATCATTATCCTTGCCATCTCGGCATCTTTCGCTGCTGCAACACGAAAGTCATTACCAGTAGTTGATCTGGGACATTCTATCAATCAAGCTACTATTGAAGTATGTTGCTGAGTTCTTAATCATATCCTTCTCAAAGCTAACATTTCCACGACAACTAGCCATGGAAGCTACTATAACTTTTCAAATATTCGGTATGGAGAAGCTCCTGTTGGCCCACTGCGTTTTTCCAGACCAATCCCACCGCGAACGGCCAATCGAACTACAAATACCGGTCAAGAAGCAAGATCATGCTACCGAGCACATCCTTATTGGTTAAAGACAGCACGACAGTACATTAATAAGGTCCCGCTAGATGAGATAAAGCAAGAATGGTTCGATATCAACAATCCACCTTTACATGATGCTAGTCAATCCGAAGACTGTTTATTTTTGGATGTGATGGTACCTACTACGATTTTTGATAAAACTTCAAAGATTGAGACATGCGATGATGAACCTAGTGCCCCTGTTCTAGTTTGGATTGACGGTGGTGGTTTTACTGGTGGATACAAACATGAAACTAATCCTGCAGGATTAATCGAGAATTCCATGGTATTAAAGGAAGAATTCGTCTATGTTTCTATAAATTACAGACTGGTCTTTACATTGGTATAATCACGATTATTCTTAAAGTGAACATGCTAATTTTATTAGGGCTTCTTAGGTGGACCACTTTTGAAAGCCGATGGAGATGCAAATGCCGGTTTGCTTGATCAACGATTAGCTTTAGAATGGGTGCAGGAGTTCGTTTATTTATTTGGAGGTGACAAGAGCCGAGTGACAGTCATGGTGAATCGGCCGGAGGTGGATCTATACTACATCAAATAACTGCATATGGTGGAATGAGAGGTCCCCCGCCATTTCAACAAGCTATCCTACAAAGTCCGGGTTTTCAGCCAAATCCGGGGAGTTATCAACAAGAAAGAATCTCAAATCATGTCTTGAACGACGCAAGTAGCTTTTCAAATAGGTCGATCACGACTATAGATGGTTTACGAACTGTCGACACTCGGACATTGGCTAAAGTCAATGATTTCATCGTTGCGAATTCTCCTTATGGCCTTTATACCTTTGGTCCAACTGTCGATGGAACTTTTGTACCCGCACTCCCTGGTCAAATTCTAGCGAATAAGAATTTTCACACTTCTCTGACATTGATGATTGGAGGAAATGACCAAGAAGGTGTTCTATTCACTTCACCGTATATTTTGAACCAAGCAGATTATGTTGCCAATCTCAAATGGTTGTTTCCAAGGGCCCCCGAGCCGTTAGTGCATGACATTTTCGCCCTTTATCCCGACCAACTCGATGGGAAATATGGTTATACGGGTGAAATGCTGCGGGCAGCTGTTACTAGTGCAGAGTCCTGTTTTGCATGCAATACGAGATACCTGAATGCTAAAGTTGGAAACAAGTCATACGTTTATTCATTCGACGTACCTCTAGCATTACACGCAGATGATGTTGCTTATACATTTTATAATGGTCCAGGCAGTGTTACATGGGATGGAAGACCTGTATTTGGAGGTGCGGCACTCTCTCTTTAAGATTACATTGTGAACTTTGTAACTACTGGTACACCGAATGGAAGAAGGGTTCCAGATTTTCCTCAATCTGATGGCAAATCCAATATTTTGAGTATTAACTCATCGTTTTTGGGAACTATCTATGTTGATCCTTTAGTAAGGGGGCAATGTGAATGGTGGCAAAAAGCCCTTTATTATTGATTACATTTGTCATTTTCCTTCATGTATGACGCGCAACAGGAATCCTGAATCTCGAGACTTTCAGATTGAAAGTAGTTCATGGCTTGATGGGGATGATGTGGTCTAAGTTGAAAGCTTAAATTATGTCGAAAGACTATTAAGTTATACATTAGTAGGTTTAAAATTTGACGTCTTAATCATTTCACTTTGTAATTCTTTGAGGTCATTTTAATTCTTTATAATACTAAAATACAGCTGTTTACTAAACATTAAAATTACATGAAAACTCATATAAATCATTTGTATTTTATTAAATAAATATAATATATATATTAATCAATTTCATATTAATTTATTCAATTTCATTTGAAATTTAAGAAAAAAAAATATCATTTATTTTTAAGATTTTTATTTATTATAAAATCTGTATAGAAAGTTAATAGAAATTGAAAATATTGAAATTTACTAATGAAATAAGCAAAAATTAAGAACTTTTCTTTTGATATTAATTCAATCTTATAAATATCAATATATATTTATTTTAAAATAATAGAAATCTAAATAATAAATTCTTTATTATATAATAAAATCATATTCAAAATTTTAATCAAATTTAATGATTTTGAATAATTCTTTTTTATAATTAGAAATAGAACAAAATGCTTGTTTTTAATATGATTTTTGAAACCGACGAACAGTTGTACATGATTACTATAGTACTACATCTTTTCATTTTTTATCATCTATAGCACTCAATCGTTATATAACTCATAAACTTAAATTCCATGAGAACTCATACTTCAATTATACTAATATGAGATATATATCTATGTATATGAAACATTAAGCATTATTCCTTACGTACATACAACAAAGTATTGATTATTAAAAGACCTAAGGCCACTAGTAGGTGCGTGAATTGACGGGACACTTCCAAACTCGAAATTTTCAACAAATTTACTATTCATTTGTTTCATATTAGAATTCTCATTCGGATTGTTTTGATTCTAATAAGCAATTGTAACAACTTTTAAAATATATTCTTGAAGGTTAGTTCTAGAATAATAATAATAATATTAATATTCTAATAGTAGTAGAAGACTTAGTTATCTTTAAGCTTAAGATTAAATCGAATATATAATATAATGATAAGTTAAATTTAAATTATAAGAATAAGCTGAATCAAGCTGAATTTACTTTCTATTTCTAAGGTTTCTTTAAATAATATTTTAAATTTATATAGTTTATAATGAAATTCTAGTAGTTTTCATACTTGTAAATAAGATTAATCTAAATCGAATCTTATGAAATCATTTATATTATAAAAAGATAGTATAACTAATAAATTTAGTTCGTTTTATTAATAATCTATTAGAGGTAATCTACTTTATTACTACGTTATGTAGAAGTATAATTATTCTAGATTAAATCTAGAATAGTAGAACTACTATATAAAGTCTATCAACTCTAGATTACTACGTCCTAATATAATCTTGTATATAATTTTATTTTATTCTATTATATATTAATTTAATAAGAGATATAATAATATAATTTTATAGTATAAATTTATATTATATATATAGTAGTTATTAATATATCTTATAATTAGAAAGATATTAATAAGTAATTTAGTATATTTATTATAGAGTCTTACATCTATAACTCGATGTAATGAGAGATATTTATAAGTTAATATCTATTATATTTCGTTAGTTCATATACTTACTAGTGGCCTAGTAGTAAAGACCTAGGATTTTCTTTGAAGAAAACCTAGAAAAAGTAAGTCAATTCAGATCTGTTTAAGCTTTTTCTTATAATTTGACTTCAATTCAACTTTTATACTATAATTCGATTTATTTCTTAAGCTAAAGTAACTAAGTCTTTTACTAATACTAGAATACTAGTATTTTTATTATTGTTCTAGAGCTAACCTTTAAGAATTTTAAATATTACTAATCTCTAAAGATCGAATGAATATATGAAATTAAGAAATCAAAAGAATACTATCTATTTATCGATATATTAATGACTCTAATAGATTAGATCGATAATACTTCGAAGAGAAGATCTTTATTTAATAGATAAATAGTCTATCTAACTATAGTTAATTAAAGGTTTATCTCTTTAATAATCTTACTGTCCGCGAGGACTATAGTATTATATATGTATAAAATGTTGATTCGCTTAGCCTGAGATTCGATTCAAGCGATCTAATTGATTATATAAACTCCTTAGTATTATAACATAGCGTAATAACCTCTTTTAAGGAAATCATTTAAATCATCTAATTAGAGTTAATTAAAATTAAACAAAAGAAAAGAAAAGTAGTAATCATATAGAATAAACTAAAGACATTCAATTGATTTAATTTCTATAATATTAGCTTTAATATTAAGGTTTATATATAAGATTAAAGTTTTATTTTGAAAGTAGTAGAATAGCTTATATAATCAATCTAGTAAGGAATATATTATATATAGTAGAATTATAGTTAATAAATTTATTCTGATATTAAAGCTTTTATAGTTTAATAATATAATTATTAATTTGAAATATAAAAAATTGAAATGAGTTTAATTATATTATATAATATACGGTAATAACCTCATATAGTATTATTTCATGTATTGATACCTCAAATGTCAGGAATATAATCAAAATAATCTTAACTAGTATTTTTGACATTTCAATTTCAACTTTTTTTGATAATATTGTTATCCTAGTTTTAATTTGATTTAAATAAAAAATTGATATTTTGGTTTCAAATTAATTTAATATTCTGATTTCATATTGATTTAATATTCTAATCTTAAATTAATTTGATATTCTAATTTTAAAAATTATATATTATTTTAGTTTCAAAAACTATATATTATTCTGATTTTAAAAGTTATATTCTAATTGTAATATAATATAAAGTATATTGAACAATTATAGATTATAAATCTATAAATTTAAAATCTTTTTTTAATCTTTTAGATCTATAAATATCTTTCTTTTTCTTTTTCTCTTTATATTTTCCTTCTATACTTTTCTTACTTTTCATAATCTTTTTTTTTTTTTTTTTTTTCTTATCCTTGTTTATACTTTTGATTAAAATCGACATTATTTGTTATAAAACAGTTACAATAATTTCATCGATTTTCTCTAAGTTTGAATTGCTTTTAGAATTCTCATTATTAAAACTAGAATTTTTACTAAAGTTGTTTATATTACTAATTTCATTCTTTCGATTATACTTTTTAGAAGATTTTTTGATTATTATTCTTTTACAACAAATAGAACCATTTACTCTATCATTTCCTATAAATATTTAATTATAATCTTTTTATTTGAAAGTATCAATTACTTTTAAAATTGTATCGTAATTCTTTATAATTAATCAAACAATTAATATATACATTTTTATTATAATCTAATATTATAATACATTTAATTCAAGGTTCTTCTGATTTATTAACAAATGAATAAATATTATACAATATAAATGTAAGAATATTATACTTTTATATAAAAATAGCATTTATATTAGCGTTTAATTACTTTCTATCTTTATCAAATTATTTAATTTTTCGAATAGAATTTCGATATTCTAAGTTATATATTAAAGAGAGTTTGTATATTACTATTATTAATAATAAGGGGTTAGCTGGAAGCTAAACTGGGGATATTATTTGTTAATAAAAACCTAATAAATAATTACAATCTAAATTAAGATTGAATTAAATAAGATTAATATTTTTAAAACTGGATTTTAATTTCGAATTATTGAAATCATACATTTCCGACTCTTCTTCTTAATAAATAGTATTGATTAATATTTCAGAAACCTTAAATAGAATATAATTATCATTAAAATTAGAATTAAAACTATTATCATTATTGCTAAATGTAATTTATATATTATTGGGATTATATAATGAAGCTTGATCTAAATCCAGGGATATTTGACAACCTTGTAAAGCTAACAAAATTATTTTGAGTATAAATTAATCATTTTCTATTATTATTAGTAAATCCATATTTAATGAATATAATTTAGTATTTTATATATTAATAATTAAAGCTGCTTTTTCATTTTCTTATTTTTTATAAAAATATCTTCAAACTTTCTATATTAATTATTCAGGTTTTTGTATTTTAATATTCATAATTAGGAAAATAAATGAAATTGATATAATAAAGTTATTATATAAAGAACTAAAGATTTGTTGAACTTAGAAGATATATAATATAAAAGATTCACTATTATATTGAATTATATAATAAAAAGGATAATCGCTCTAAATATTGGTTTGAATTAATATATAATTTTTAATTTAAAGATAAATTGTATAGACTATATTAAGCATTTTTTTTATAATAATTTGTTATACTTATTATCCTATTTATTATAATTGATTTAGTATTATAATAAAAGTAATTACCCTTACAAACTTACCAATAGTGTTATACAATAGCCTTTTATTAACCATTTTATTGAATTTAAATTTACTATTTCTTGAAATAAAAGTTATTTTTAATATATTATTAATAATTTCGTAATTTAAATTCAATGGAATTGAAAATCATATAATATATCTATAAGAAAGGTTAAATATAGAACTGAAATTTATTTCGTTTGATTTATATTAAAAAAAAGTAATGTTATTAATAAATATAAATAATATTTATGGATTTTGAGTATTAAATTATAATTGATTAAAGTGAATATAGAATTTTTATTTGAAAAATAATGAATATAATTCCATTATAATACTAGCTATCATATATCGCTTAATTGGAATTTTTTCGAAATTAATTCGAAAACTACTATATAACAAATCTATATTAAAATT